GGGGGAGGAGGGTAAAGATGGGGCCTCACTATGTTGCTCAGGCTGGTCTCAAACTCCTGGCCTCAAGCAATCCTCCTGCCCTGGCCTCCCACAGCACTGGGATTGCAGGAATGACCCACCTCACCGGACTGGCTTGCATTATCTTTCCACTGGATGGCCCAGATCGAGAGGGTAGATTTATGCAAGCAGAAACTGCTTGGTGCAATACTGGCCATGGAGATGTTGCTGAGATATGTGGTTAAGTGAACAAAAGTAAGATGCAGAAGTGTGGGGTAAGCCGGTTATCTATCAATCAACTCCCTCCTCAGTCTCATGTGTTTCTCTGCTTCTTTTCACATCAGGTGAGTAACATGCTAACCTTGTAAGAAGGTTTGAGGCAGGCACATCTCACACACACTCACCAACACCCACTGTTGTGCTTGGGAGCCAAAATAGTGCCTCATCTGTCATTCTTCGCTGTTGCACATTCCCACCAGCGAACAAGCCCGCTCTGCTGTCCCCCTGGAAACCAAACCCCAACTAAACCAAACCTTCTCCCAGCCCACTTATGCGGCCAGCCACATTCCTGTTTTCTGTTCTATTTGGCAGTGAAAGTCCTTGAAAGAGCAGCAAGTTCTGGCTCTCTCCAACTTGTCTCCTTGTGTTCCTTCTGAATCCCACCCCCAGGCTGGGTGTGGTGGCTCGAGCCTGTAATCCCAGCACTTTGAGAGGCCAAGGCAGGCAGATCACTGAGGTCAGAAGATGGAGATCAACCTGCCTCTACTAATAATAAAACCCTCTCTCTACTAAAAATATAAAAATTAGCCAGGCGTGGTAGTGGGCACCTGTAGTCCCAGCTACTCAGGAGGCTGAGGCAGGAAAACCACTTGAACCCAGGAGGCAGAGGTTGCAGTGAGCCAAGATCACACCACTGCACTCCAGCCTGGGTGAAAGAGCCAGACTTCGTCTCAATAAATAAAAATAAAATAAATAAATCCCACTCTCACAAGGCTTGCCTGGCCCCCACTGCTACGTACAAACCGTTCTTCTGAAGGTCGCCAGTTACTGCCACATTGTCACGTCCACAGGTGACACCTGAGTCCACCTCTGACGTGACTGACACAGCTGCTGCTTACCCTCTCCTGTGTGCCCTCTATCCACTGGTCTTCCTGGACCCAGGTCTCCTGGTTCCTCCTACCTCCCTAGCTGCTCCTCCTTAGTTCCTGACATTTTTTTTCCCTTGGATACAGGGTCTTGCTCTGTCACCCAGGACGGAGTACAGTGGCACGACCTCAGCTCACTCAGCCTCCTGAGTACCTGGGACTACAGTTGTAACACCTGGCTAATTTTTTTGTATTTTCTGTAGAGGTGGGGTCTTGTGGTGTTAGCCAGGCTGGTCTCCAACTCTTGAGCTCTAGACTCCAACTCTTGGAGTCTAACTCTGTCATCCAGGCTGGAGTGCAGTGGCATGATTTCAGCTCACTTCTACTTCTGCCTCTGGGGTTCAAGCAATTCTCCTGCCTCAGCCTCCAGAGTAGCTGGGACTACAGGTGCCCACTACCACGCCCGGCTAATTTTTATATTATATATTTATATTTATATACCACCACACCCAGCTAATTTCTGTATTTTTAGTAGAGGCGGGGTTTCACCACATAGGCCAGGCTGGTCTTGAACTCCTGACCTTAAGTGATCCACCCACATCAGCTTCCCAAAGTGCTGGGATTACAGACATGAGCCACCACGCCTGGCCAGCTCCTGACTTCTTAATGCTTGGTCCTAGGCACTCTCTTCCTCTCCATCACCCCCTTGGTGCTTGTGGTAGTAGAATAATGACCCCAAAGATGCTCACGTGCAAATCCCTAGAACCTGTCAATAATCTGGCTTACATAGCAAAAGGGACCATCCAGAAATGATTAAATGAAGGACCCTCATTCATTCATTCAGGATGGGGAGATCATCCTGAATTAACGGGGTAGGTCCAGTATCATCACAAGGGGCCTCATAAGGGAAAGACAGAAGCAGGAGAGCCAGAGTCAGAGAGAGGCTGGAAGATGCTGACTTTGAAGATGGGGAAAGGGCTATGAGCCAGGGAATGCAGGAGGCCTCTAGAAACACAGGGAAAAAACAAAAGGTGCAGAACAGAATCTCCCCCAGAGACTCTGGAAAGGAATGCTGTCCTGCTGGTACCTTGATTTTAGCCCCTTAAGACCATTTTAGAATTCTGAACTGCAGAACTATAAGATAATAGAACGGGGTGGCAGCTCATGCTGGTAATCCCAGCACTTTGGGAGGTGGGAGGATCACGTGAGCCTAGGAATTGGAGACCAACCTGGGCAACACTGGGAGACCCATCTCTACAAAAAAAATAAGAAAAATGTAGCTGGCATGGAGCCAGGCTTCCATCCTAGCTATTCAATGAGGCTGAGGCGGGAGGATCACTTGAACCTAGGAAGTAAAGGCTGCAATGAGCTGTGATTGTGCCACTGAGGGGGGAAAATACTTAATGAACTCCTGTTGCTTTAAGTTATGAAGTTCAGGGTACTTTGTTACGGCAGCAGCAAAAAACTAAAAGACTGGCCAGTCTCCTGATTGTAACAGTGACAATGCCCAAATATATCACTTCCAGGCTAAGTGTCACACTTCGATATTCAGCTGCCTACTTATTGGACACCTCTACTGAGACGTCTGAATTCTGGACCCTCCTCCCAAGCCTTCTGCACCCAATGGAGTTGGTGGCAATGCCATCCTTCTAGGTGCTTGAGCCAAAATCTGGGACGGAACCTTCACTCTTAATTCCTTATCACTCCCCTCATCCAGGCTGCTAGTCCTGCTGGCCCCATCTTTAACACACAGCCAGATTCTGACCACTCCTCACCAGCCTCCTCTACCCCCCTGGTGTAAGCCTCCACAGCCTCTGTGCCTCTACCGCTGCCCCTACATTCTTCCCAGCACAGGAGCAGCGGGGTCCTTAAGACAAAGAATGTCACTCTTGTGGTCCCCACTGCATTTCTCCAAATCCTCAGGGAGAATCCTCAGGGAGGCTGATGAAGCCACCTATAATGTGATGCCCCTCCCCCACCTCTGTGACTTTATCTCCTACCAACCCCACCTTGCTCTGCTCCAGCCACTCTGGCCTTACTGTTCCCTGGGCACAGCAGAAGGACACATCCCCACCCCAGGGCCTTTGCAGGTGATGTACCCCTTGTCTGGAGCACTCTTCCCTGATGTCCTCATGAGTAACTCCCTCACTGCCTTCAGGATCTGCTTAAATGTCACCTTCTCAACAAGGCCTGCCCTGAGCACCCCAAACTGCCACTCATCCCAGTCACCTCCACAATGCCCAATGCTTCTCACTGTGCCCTAGTGTTTCTGTTTTCCTTTCAATCTACAGTATCATTTACCCATCTATCATTCTTATTGTTTGCTCATCTCCTGCACTAGAATGTAACTCCACAAGGGCAGGGATCTTTGTTTTGTTCATGGTGTTTAAAATAGTGCCCAGCATAGAGGACATTCAATAAATAAATGAATCACTGGAAGGGTATCTGGGTAAGTTTGTTTGTTTATTGTTTGCTTGTTTGTTTTGGTGGTGGGGACAGGGTCTAGATCTGTCACCCAGCCTGGAGTGCAGCTGCACAATCATGGCTCACTGCAGTGTCAGCCTCCCATATTCAACCAATCCTCTTGCCTCAGTCAGGAGTTCAAGACCAGCCTGGCCAGCATGGTGAAACTCCCATCTCTACTAAAAATACAAAAATTAGCTGGGCATGGTGGCACATGCCTATAATCCCGGGCTGGTCTTGAACTCCTGACCTCAAGTGATCCACCCGCCTCAGCCTCCCAAAGTGCTGGAATTACAGGTGTAAGCCACTGCACCCGGCCAGAAAAAGCTTATTAAAGAAAAAAAAAATAGCCTCAGAATTAAACAGAATCATGGCATACAGTAAGTGCTTAGAAATGGTAATGGGTATCATTATTCTTTTCTTTCTTTTTTTTTGAGACAGGGTCTTACTCTGTTGTCCAGGCTGGAATGCAGTGGCGGGATGCTGACTCACTCCAGCCTCAACATCCTTGGGCTCAGGTGATCCTCCCACCAGCATAGCTGGAACTAAAAGGTGCATAGCACCACACCCAGCTAAGTTTACAGAGATGGGATTTCACTATGTTGCCCAAGCTAGTCTTGAACTCCTTGGCTCAAGCGATCCATCCACCTCAGTCTCCTAAAGTGCTAGGATTACAAGCATTTTTTTTTTTCTTTCTGTTCATGGAAATAACTCACTCAACATTTAATGACATGCCTTCACCCTTCCAGTGAAAAATCCCCCACAAAATACAGAAATAAATAAAGTAGAAAGTGAAGCCTTCCATTATTCTACCTCCCACTGTCAGGTCAATGTATCACATTCTAGACATTTTCCTCTGTGTGAGCGTTTATTTCTAAACTTTTTGCAAACATAGGATGACACCCTATATTTTAGTAACTCACTCACTTTCGATACAGCATAGATTTCCTTCCATAAAAGTCCACATCACTCTCCAGGGTTCTGAATGCCTGTAAGCTATTCCACAACAGGGATGAAATAACTGATTTACCATTTCCTGAAGATGAACTTTAAGCTATTTCTAATGTTCCCCTACAAACAATGCTTTAATGAACAGCCTCCATCCCACACATCTATGAGCACACAGGAGACTTTCCTTGGGATAAATCACTGATTACGGAATTGTGGGCACGCTGGCACATTTGAAACACTGTCATCTTACTGCCAAATTATCCTCATTATTCTCGGAATGAACTGCCTGCATTCACCCCTCCCAGAGGCAGAAGGGGGCACATATCCCCACCCCTGCCTTCCTCCTTAGGTGAGTCTCTCCTTCAACAGGGTGGTGGCAGGCCTCTGTGACATCACAGATGTGGAGGTTGGGAGAGAGACAAGCCATGTGGCTGCCCAATTGGGACCTCAGGGAACAGCACTGGACATCCCCTTCTGAGACTCAGCATGTATTTAGCTGTAAGAGTCTTGGTTGACTGGTATCATTTCTAATCACCAGTGCCAGGGACCATACTCAATAGAAGCAGGGAAGCTGGCAGGGAGAGGCTAAATGTCATTTTAAAAATCATTATAATACAATTTTAGATTTGGAAAAAGCCAAGAAAAGAATCTTATCATACAAAGCATCCATTGCCATTCACATATTCATTCAACAAATATTTCAGTTCCTTTTAGTTCAGGCTATTCTCAATATTAGGATTGTCACAGTGAACAAAAGAAAGTCCCTGTTCTCAGTAAACTTTCATCCCACTTGGGGAGACAAATCATAAATACTGTATTAGAGTGACAGCCAGCTGCAGTGACAAACAAACCCAAAGTTTCAGATGGCCACCGAAGGCGTCAAGACCTCAGATGAGGCCAAATGTCCCTACCGCCTAGCAGGACATCCTCTTCCTAGAACTTAGAACTAATCTCTGTGGCTGGACAAGGTGGCTCACACCTATAATCCCAGCAAGTAAGTCTCCCGCCTCAGCCTCCTGAGCAGCTGGGATTATAGGAGAGTGCCACCATTCCAGCTAATTTTGTCTCTTTCGTAGCGAGAGGGTAACGCACAAGGTCTTGGAAAAACCTGAGATGTCAAAGATTGACATCCACCCTGGGCTGGGTATGGCGGCTCAAGTCTAATCCCAACACTTTGGGAGGCTGAGGTGGACAGATGGCTTGAGGTCAGGAGCTGGAGATCAGCCTGGACAACATGATGAAATTGTCTCTACTAAAAATAGAAAATTAGCCAGGTAAGGTGGCACATGCCTGTAATTTCAGCTACTCAGGAGGCTGAGGCAGAAGAATCACTTGAACCTGGGAGACAGAGGTTGCAATGAGCCAAGATGGTGCCATTGCACTCCAGCCTGGGCAACAAGAGTGAAACTCCAACTAAAATAAAAAGTATCAAGTATTAGAGGATTGGGAGTAACAATTTTACATCAGTCTAGACCCAAGCCAATCACTGAAAAATTACTGCTAACCTACTATGTGCTAGTGTATTCATCTTAGTAATAGAGTAGACTTTAGCTTCAAATTCATGGTTTCCCCACCTTATTGGGGGAGGAGGTGGGCTCCACCTGCTTTGGGACAGAGAGAACTAACAGCATACCTGGTATCCACCAGCCCCTTCTCCTTTCTACGAGCTCTGCTTTACCCCAACGGGCAGTGTGCTTTTGCAAAAAGCTGAAATTGAGCTGAAAGTCACATAAAATAAAGCTCATCATTTAAAGTGTGTAATTCAAGGCCAGGCATGGTGGCTCATGCCTTTAATCCCAGCACTTTGGGAGGCCGAGTCTTGAGGACCTCTTGAGGTCAAGAGTTCGAGACCAGCCTGACCAACATGGTGAAACCCCGTCTCTACTAAAAATACAAAAATGAGCGGGGCATGGTGGCACATGCCTGTAATCCCAGCTACTCGGGAGGCTGAGGCAGGAGAATCACTTGAAGCAGAAGGCAGACATTGCAGTGAGCCAAGGTTGTACCACTGCACTCTAGCCTGGGCAACACAGCGAGACCCTGTCATTAATTCATTCACTCATAAATAAAGCGTGTAATGCAGTGGCATTTAGTACAGTTACAATGTTGTGTAACCACTGCTTCTGCCAAGTTCCAAAGCATCAGCCCAGAAGGAAGCCCTGCACCCATGGCATAGCTGCTCCCTGTTCTACCCATCCTGGTCACCCTGATCAGTTTCTGTCTCCACAGACTCCCAATGCCAGGCCCTCCACAGAAACAGAACCGCACACCCTGTGCTGCCTCAGGACATTTGGAGGAGCAGCTCCTTCTTCCCAGGTGCTCCGTCCTCCTCTTACTCTGGCACCCTTTAGGGCTCACTTCACCAGCACCTCTTTGGGGCTCTCCTTAGGGCCCCCCCTGAGGTCAGGCTCTCCAGCACATGTCCTCAGGAACCTGAGGTGTCCCTTTCTCAGCATTTACCACTATTGCAATTATTCTTCGGGGCGATTTCATTCGTGCCTTCTATAGTTAGATGATAAAGTCTATTAGGGGAAGGGTGTGGTGGCTCACACCTGTAATCTAGTGCTTTGGGAGTCAGAGCCAAGAGGTTTGCTTGAGGCCAGGAGTTTGCGACCAGCCTGGGCAACATAGAGAGATCCCATCCCTACAAAAAAATAATAATAATAGTAGCCAGGCACAGTGGCTCATGCCTGTAATCCCAGCACTCTGGGAGGCCGAGGTGGGCAGATCATTTGAGGTCAGCAGTTCAAGACCAAGCCTGTCCAACAGGGTGAAACCCCATCTCTACTAAAAAACAATTAGCTGGGTGTGGTGGTGTGCACCTATAGTCCCAGCTATTTGGGGGGCTGAGGCTGGAGGGCCTAGACCAAAATCTGGCATGCAATAGGCCAAAATATGGACAGTAATATTTTGTTAATTGAATAGATGATTGCTCCCATTTAGGAGTCATCTTGTGTCTCCCTGGCTGTGACATAGGCAGGCTCCTCACCCAGGGCCCCGCCCACCCCTCACATGCCCATATATGGACATGATGCCAGCCACCTGGCCATGGTCTGTGAGGTCGCAGCCCCTTTGCCCTCACAATGCCCAAGGGCCCCCCGGCGTCTATAAGAGGCCGCAGGGCCAACCCCTGGCTCACAGCCCACGGAGTTCCACCTGCTCACAGGTTGGCTGGCTCAGCCAAGGTAGTGCCCTGCTCTGAGCGACCAGGCCAAGCCATCCTGCACCATGGCCAGGTACAGATGCTGCCGCAGCCAGAGCCGGAGCAGATGCTACCGCCAAAGACGAAGAGGTCGCAGACGAAGGAGGCGGAGCTGCCGGAGACGGAGGGCCAGCAGTAAGTGAGCCCAGCTGAGGGTGGGCTGGGGCTGGGGCTGGGGGCTCTCGGGTGCCCAAGCTTCCTCTCACCACCTTTCATGGTCTCACCAGGGTGCTGCCGCCGCAGGTACAAGCTGCCATGTAGAAGATACTAATTGCACATAATTGCACAAAATAGCAAGTCCACCAAACTCCTGCCTGAGAATTTTACCAGACTTCAAGACCCTCTTGCCACATCTTGAAAATGCCACCATGCAATGAAAAACAGGAGCCTGCTAAGGAACAATGCCGCCTGTCAATCAATAAATGTTGAAAAGTCATCCCACTCTTGTCTCCTTGTCCTTGAGAGGGGAGGCTCAGTGGGGAGGAGGGCTCAGGATGAGCAGAGGGAGAGAGGGCATGCGACAGAGAAGGATGTGGGTAGGGGGGACATGAGAGAGTAACCGTTGTCACACTGGGTTTTGTTCCAAACTCTTAGTAGTACCAACAAGTCACAACCAAAACCTGCCCAAGTCACAATCAAAACTTAACCCCCTCTTCACAGATCCCTACCCAGTGGAGTTGCGGCAACCGAGTCAAGTTTGAGGACTCACTATGTACATTTCCCCACTCTGCTCAGTGACTTCATCCTGGCAGCTTGAAAGGGACCATGGAAATTTCCAGAAATTAGCAAATGCTACAAATCTGGGTTCCCTCCATCCCTGGGGTTTCAGGGGTTCCAGTTAAACATCTAGCTGGATCTCAGCTCCCCTTATCTGACCTCTCCCCTAGTTGCCCACCCAGGGTTTATTTTAGCCCAAACTATTTAACTTAGTTTACAAGTTAAATAGATTAAGCCAGTCACACAGAAGTGTTTCCTCATTCCCGGCCAGAAGTTTTCATACCCAGTGGCTACAGTGATAACACATACAGGTAGCTGAACGGTAGCTGAACTTTTTAATCAAGTGCCATTAAGGAAATTTCTTATCTACCATCCTGCAAACCCAAACATTTTGTTAACCACTGGTTTGGGGCAGGTTTCACAACGTTATGTCCACTTGAGGAAACAAAGGTTAACGTGTCCGTCTGATCGAACCTTAGTCCCCACTCAAGCTGTGTATGATACACTACCCATACTAAAACTTCCAAGGCAAGAGAGTTTAAGACCCCACTGAGATGTGGGGAAGGATGAGAAGTGAGGCAGCCACCCAGACACAAGAAATCCTAGCAGGCAGTGGGCTACTTGGCTCACTCACAGCCTAGCCCACCCTCTCTGATTCCTTAACACAGACCCTGGCTCACAGTCATTTCATGATGGTAGAGCAATGCCCAGAGCACTTCAGCAGGGATCACAGGCTCTGAGACCCAGTTCCCTGAAGTGACAGGGTGCACTAAGCACCTCAGAAATGTCACAGTATGACTTTTGCTTATGGGGCACCAACTGTGTGCTGTGCCTAGCATTCTGCATACATTTTTTTTTTTTTTTTTTTTTTTTTTTGAGACAGGGTCTCTCTCTGTCACCCAGGCTAGAGTGCAGTGATGCAACCCAGTTCACTGCAGCCTCAATCTCCTGGGCTCAAGTGATTCCCTTACTTCAGCCTCCTGGCCTCTTGAGTAGCTGGGACCGCAGACACGCACCACCATGCCTGGCTAATTTTTTGTAGATATGAGGTGTCACTATGTTTCCCGGGCTGGTCTGAAACTTCTGAGCTCAAGTGATTCTCCTGCCTTGGCACAAGGCGGCTGCCTGGGGCAGGTATCAACAACCTTGTGCTTCCAAGTGAGCACATCAGAGTTCAGTGCTAGCCCTGCCACTACCATGACCCTGATCACTTCAGCAGTGGCCCTCTGTAACACAATCAGGTCATGACAGCAGTTTGGCTGGACAGGCAGACCCTGGAGTGCAGTGGTGTGAATGTGGCTCACTGCAGCCTCGACCTCCTGGGCTCAAGCGATCCTCCCCGACATGCCACCACACCCAGGCTAATTTTTTTATTCTTTGTAGATGGGGGCCTCACTATGTTGCCCAGGCTGGTCTCAAACTCCTGGGCTCAAGTGATCCTCCCACCTCAGCCTCTCAAAGTGCTGGGATTACAGGTGTGAGCCATCACACCAGCTTCTTCCTATTTTTATCAGCAAGCTCTGGCCGTGGAGATTTGACTTAGCAGGATGTAGGGTAAGGTCCTAGCATTCATATTTTTAACACACACCCTCAGGGAGCTTGAGGGCCACTCTAACGGACCTTCTTATCCCCAAAGAGAGGCAGCACAGAAACACCGCAGGCATGGCAATATCACCGGTCACCTCCTGTAAGAATCTGAAGATTAAGCCCTCTGACTTTGTTTCCTAATGCCACCACGACAGATTGCCACAGGTTGTGACAGATTGCCACAGGTTTTGTAGCTTTAAACAACACAAATATATTATCTTACAGGTCTGCAGTCAGAATTCTGAAACAGGTCTCATGAGGCTAAAATCAAGGAATCAGCAGGGCTGTGTCCCTCCTGGATGCACAAGGGGAGGATAACCCATTTCCCTGTCCATCCCCGAGAGGCTGCCTGCCTTAGCTCATTGTAGGGAGGAAACCCTGCAAGCGCTGTGGCAAGGGTCTGAAGCCTCAGCCTGTTCCCATATAAATATTGATTTAGAAAAGAATTAGAAATTTAGGCACTTTTGTGCCTAATTTAGAATTAGGATTTCTAATTCTAAAATAATTAGAAATTTAGGCACTTTGTATAAAGTTATTCCTTTATTCAAGCTCCAGCTTGATTATAGTTACTCACTTATAATCATAAAGATATATACTCAATATAACCTTTAATTTTACTAATGACTATCAGGTTATGAAGCATGAAACTGAGGTGACATTGTGAACAAAGTGATCCTAAGGCACGTTGTTCTAAGCTCTCTGTGACATCTGCGTAGGGCAGCGCTGGGAAAGCGCCTGCTATTTAGCCAGCTAGGGAAGGAGAAGTCCAAAATGGCCAAGACGTCTTCTTCCTGGGGGAGTTAGGAGAAAACTCCACTCTTCCAAGCTCTTGTGGCAAGGCCTGATGGCTGTCAGGTAGCCCCGCAGACGCCCGGGGCCTTAACTGTCTCTATGTGATGCTGTGCTTCGGTGGTCATGCTCCATGTCTACTATCCCACCCTGCTCCTGCATCTGGTTTCTCTTTTTCTTAAAAGATAAGAGTTAATAATAGTTACTAATCTTAGTGTCCTTGATATTTCTGGCAAATATGCGAAGAGCGCTGACTCATTGGCTTTTCTCCTCCCCTCGGCCACTTGAAAGTCTTGGGCCCCCTACCTTCAAGACACCCTCTCACCGACCACCATTACCTCAATCTACCTTCCCTGCCCCCTGCTTTGTACTCAATAAAAGGCAGAGTGTCCTGGCACTTGGGGCCACTGCAGGTCCCCACGCTTTGGTTGCCAGTGGACCCCTGAGCCCACACTCTCTTTTCTCTATCTCTGTGTCTGTGTCTTTTATCTCTACAGTTTCTTGTCTCGGCACCAACAGGGAGGGGCTCACAGAACCCTATAGGGCTGGACCCTATAGCTCACAGCCTCTGCCTCCATCTTCAAAGACAGCAGCATGGCTTCTTCCAATTTCTCTTCCCGTGAGCCTCCCACCTCCCTCTTCTCTCTTCTAAGGGCCCCTGTGAATGCACTGGGCCAACCAAAATCACCCGGGTGATCTGCATCTTCACATCCTTAATTTGGCCAGTCTGCCACATTCCCACATTCTCCCTGCCCTCCATGAAAGGGAAGCTGGTTTTGTGGTTCTGTGATTCTGATCCTGGACTTAATTCAATGAGAAGCCCTGGCAAGGCTGAGCGGGAGGAGAGAAGATGCATATTTGAGAGGAGGAGAAGGGAGCATCCCCTCCGCTGGGCATAGGCAGAGAGCCAAGGGTATGACTAAAGCCAGGCTAGCCCAGCCTGTGCTTCTCAGCAGAGTGGCCTCGAGCAACTCAACCTCTTCATGCCTGTTTGCCCCACAGAAAATGGGGACTGTTCTAGTGAGGAATGCCCAGGGGTGGTGGCTCACACCTCTAATCCCAGCACTCTGGGAGGCCAACATGGGAGGCTCACTTGAGGCCAGGAGTTTGAGACCAGCCAGGGCAACATGGTGAGACCCTATCTCTATCTCCCTGTGTGCAGGTAGTCCCAGCTACCAGGAGGCTGAGGTGGGAGGATTATCTGAGCACAGGGGGTAGAGGCTGCAGTGAGCCATGATTGTGCCACTGCACTCCAGCCTGGGTGACAGATACTGTCTCAAAAAAAAAAAAAAAGAGAGAGAGACAAAATGAGTGAATGTATGGGAAATAAATGAATCAATGCTTGGCACATAGGAGCTACTAGGGAACTGTTTGCTGCTGTCGCCATCTCAACAGTAAGTTGTGTGCAGAACCAAGCACGGAAGTCCCTTCCACATGGTGGAACACGCCACAACACTGAAGAGGCGAGGACACTTCCAAGTGACAATGTGCATTCCCACCAGCTTGGGGCGATGAGGGCTTGGATTAGACAATAAAACACCTGCCATCTGAATGGTCGCACCCTCTACAAGAGACAGGTGACATACTTTACAGGCAAGGCAAGGGGTCTCTCGCCCTTCTAGCCCTGCAGCTTGGGTGCCAGAGCCCTGCTAGCTGTGACCTCCAGCCTGTGCTGCCCTCACAGAGGAGGCTGGGAAGGGCGGGGACAGGGTGGGGCCGCGGAGTCATAGTGGGGGCCCCCTTTAAATACAAGCTCCCAGGGAGCCTCACAGACCAGACCAACACTAACACCAAGGGCAGGTGGGCAGGCCTCAGCCCTCCTCCACCACCCCAGGGCTCAGTGCAACCTCAACACAGGAGCCACCAGATCTCCCAACACCATGGTCCGATACCGCGTGAGGAGCCCGAGCGAACGCCCACACGAGGAGTACAGGCAGCTGGTGAACTGGCAGGAGCAAGGACGTAATGGCCAAGAAGAGCAGGGGCTAAGCGCAGAAGGTGGCGAGGTCTACGGGAGGACCCACCAAGGCTACTCTAGCTATAGGCGCAGGCGCTGCTCTCGCAGGAGGCGGTACCGGATTCACAGAAGACGGAGTCGCTCCTGCAGAAGGCGCAGAAGACGCAGCTGCCGATACCGGAGAAGGCCTCGCAGAGGTCTGCCCGTGCCCCCCACCCTGCATGCCCCTCACCACCCCAGGCACAGGAGGGAGGCTGGGACCCACCCCACCTGGCAGAGGCTTCAGCTCCCTGACCCCTGTCCCCACCCAGAGTCCCTAGGTGCCCCCCTCAACCAGATCTTTCTTTCCCAAAAGGCTGCAGATCCAGGAGGAGGAGAAGATGCAGAAGGTACTAAGCTTCCCGGGCCCCTCACCCTCTGCTGGAAGTTAAGAAAAAGTCACCTGCCCAAGAACCAGCAAGTGAGGCCATAGCAACACCCCTACATCAAATGCTCAAGCCCTGAATTGCTGCTGAGAAGCTCACAAGATCTGAGTGAAATGTGCCAAAGTCACCTGCCCAAGAAAAAGTCACCTGCCCAAGAACCAGCAAGTGAGGCCATAGCAACACCCCTACATCAAATGCTCAAGCCCTGAATTGCTGCTGAGAAGCTCACAAGATCTGAGTGAAATGTGCCAAAGTCACCTGCCCAATAAAGACAAGATACTCGCTGGCCTATTGGGGTCTCCTTTGCACAAATTGCATAAACCTGGCTTCCCTCTCACCCAGGGTGGATAGAGGCTTCTCTGCAGCCCTTCTTCGAGGGCGGGTAGGGCGGGAGCTCTGACGCTCTTAGGGTGCCTAGGAGAGGGTTACTGTGCCTGGGGTGATGCTGTCCTGTCCATGTGCATCTTTCCATTATTCTGTCTTGATCCCCCTCCAGTGAAGAAACAAGTCACAATCAAAAGTGACATCTTTGTGACTTAAAGGCATCTTGCAGTCATATTTAAAAGACCATAGTTTAAAAACACATGTTGGGTGGTAGAAGTGTAAACGGTGGGGGCAGAGGAGCAGTGCAGGCAATGGCTTCAAGGTGGGAAGCAGGTCTGGCATGCTCCAGTAATGGGCTGGCTATGTGAGGCCTCAGGAGGCTCATCTGATCCTTGCTGCCTGCTCTCCTTGGTTTGCAGGTGCATCCCTGTCTGATGGACAAACCTATCTCAATACCCATCTCACATGACAGATTCTAGGATCAGGACTGGGGGAAGAAAATTGGCAAGATCCAACCTCTGTGTTGGATTCCTGGTGCTCAGAAATGACCAATCTAATGACTTTCCAAAAATTTTTTTTTTTTTTGAGATGGAATTTTGCTCTTGTTACCCAGGCTGGAGTGCAGTGGTGCATCTCGGCTCACTGCAACCTCCACTTCCTGGGTTCAAGTGATTCTCCTGCCTAACCTCCTGAGTAGCTGGAGGAGCTAAAAAATATATATATTTTTGGTATTTTTAGTAAAGAAAGCGTTTCACAATGTTGGCCAGGCTGGTCTCCAACTCCTGACCTCAGATGATCCGCCTGCCTCGCCTCCCAAAGTGCTAGAATTACAGGCATGAGCCACCATGCCCAGCCTGAAAAAATTTAAATTTAAAAAATACCACTGCCATTTCAATGTATTAAAAAAAAAAAAAGTAAGCCGGGCACGGTGGCTTACGTCTGTAATCCCAGCACTTTGGGACGCTGAGGTGGGTGGATGACGAGGTCAAGAGATCGAGACCATCCTGGACAACATGGTGAAACCCTGTCTCTAATAAAAATACAAAAATTAGCTGGGCATGGTGGTATGTGCCTGTAATCCCAGCTACCTGGGAGGCTGAGGCAGGAGAATCGCCTAAACCCAGGAGGTGGAGGTTACAGTGAGCCAAGATCGCGCCACTGCACTCCAGCCTGGTGATAGAGTAAGACTCTGACTCAAAAAAAAAAAATGACAGGTTGGGAGTGGTTGTAATTACAGGCTCATGCCTGTAATCCCAGCACTATGGGAGGCTGAGGTGGGCAGATCACGAGGTCAACAAATTGAGACCATCCTGGCCCACATGATAAAACCCCGTCTCTATTAAAAATATAAAAATTAGTTGGGTGTGGTGGCAAGTGCCTGTAGTACCAGCTACTTGGGAGGCTGAGGCAGAAGAATCGCCTGAACCCGGGAGGCAGAGGTTGCAGTGAGCCAAGCTCTCACCACTGCACTCCGGCCTGGCAACAAAGCGAGATTCTGTCTCAAAAAAAAAAAAAAAAAAGTGCTCACCCCACCCCCACCCCCACCCCCCCACCCCCGCGCATGCTGAAATGGTGCTGCCCAGACAGGGGAACCTTGCTACAGGGCAGTTCCATGATGTCTTCAAAGAGACCTGTGGCCCTAAACAACTTAAGAGGATGTCACTCCACCCTGACCTGGGCAGAGAGGCATCCGGTTGCTGGTGTCCATCTCGTATCAAGGACAGAGCAGCCCCTTGTTCATCCCAGCTTGGCTTCTGGCCTGTGCCCAACGCCTTAGACAAACAAAAAAAGCTTAGAAGCCGTTGCTTTTCAAGAAGATTTCACACTTTCAGGCCCCAGAAGGAAGAGTTCTAAGAGTTTTATGAAGCACACAGCTTGGTGATTTATTCCAAATGGTCAGCAGTCAAGAAACAACACAGACAGCTCTCTCTGGCTGACTCTTTCTGGAATGTGAGGAGGAGTCTGTGTGTGCTCCCCACCCCCACGCTTCTAGAAATTAAATCCCTAACTGCCATCCCAGCTACAAGGGAAACTTTCTCCAGGGCAAATGAGGACTGTGGTGTCGGTGCTGTCCCCAACACTCTGCCTTGCAGACCTGCCCTGTAGGGGCTGGCAGCTGCTGGTGGCTGAGGTCTCAATCCTGTTGGCTCAGACCAGGTTCCCAAGTGGGCGTGGGCTCCAGGAGCCCCTTTGTGATGTCAGCATCCTGCCCCACTCACAGCCCCTCCACCAACTACCTCACCTCCCAGTCCAGAGAGACAGGCAACGTGGACCATGGGTTCCCACTGTGCCAAGCTCAGCACAGGCCACAGCCTGGGCCATAGCACCGGCCACAGCAAGAGCTATGGCCGTGGCCACAAATCTACCATGAAGAAGCTCATGACCTGCATGAGTCAGGATAACTTCTGTCTGTCATCAGAGGGCGAAGAAGATGAGGAGGAGAAAGAGGAAGGAGAAGATAAGGAGGAAGAGGAGCTGCCGGTCCAGGGCAAGCTGCTACTGATGGAGCCGGAGCAGCAGGAAGGGATGAGGACAGTGCCAAGGACAAGCAGAACCCCGAGCCCAAGCAGATGCACTCCTGACCCATGATGACAGCCGGGAAGGGACACCCACTGCTGCTCCCACCGAAGTATTCAGAGAAGAGTCAGTAAAAAGTCTGAGGAATCCTCCTTGTCTCTGGTGTCCCCTCACCCCCTCCCTCCTGGTATCGCATGTGCACATGTGTGTGAATGTGTGAGCCTGTGGGTGCACATGGAGGAAGGCTGAAGAGCAAGGCTCGGTGACCTTGTTCCCAAGCCAGAGGTTCAGGGTCTTTGGGAGGGGAATCAACTCAGCCAAATCTTCCCATCTCTAGGACAGGTTGGGGGGACTGTGCTCCCCAACCACGGACAGATTTTTAAGAACATTGGCTTGGGAGTTCGGCGGACCTGGGTTCAAACTTCTTTTCTGCCAGCCGTGTGCCCTTGAGCAAGTCACTGCATGTCTTTGGACCTCAGCCTGCCCCTCCCAGCATTTGGGGGAAGCTAATAGCTACTCATGGGTCAGCTGATCAGGAGAATTAGCTCAAGTACTGGGTGGGACCAGACCTGGCACCACCAGTGCTGAGCTAGAACAGGGATTACTGCTGGGGTCATAGTGAGCCTCGGACTCTTCCGCTGCCAGTCTATGCTGCTGGCGACCATCTGCACCCCCACCTGGAAGCTCACTCCTGCCTTCTTCAAGGGGTCTAGCCTTCGGACAGAGACAGTGCCCCATGAGAGCAGCAGGCAAAGGAGGTCCAGGGAGGTGACTGGGTGCAGACACAGAACCCAGGCCCCGTTCTCTGGCTCTGGGCTCAGTGGAGCATGTCTTCTGCCCACCCCGGCCCTGGCTCCTCCCTCACCCCTTCCATCCAAAAGAAGTGACAAATGTGATCACTACCCCATTCCCTCACAGTCCTCCAGGCACCAGCCACCTGCCCCCAAGGGGATCCTAGTTGGTGCCGTGGCAGTGGGGCTGGGGGGTGGGAAATTTTCAGGGAAGACTTGGTTTCGCTGGGGGCTGTGTGTGAGGGTAGGAAGGGGCCTTGGGCTACCCCGAGGTGAGGCCACTGCTCAGCCTTGCAATGGCCAAGGGTAGGCTGGAGGAAAGGGGAGGCCTCGATACTCCACCACTCCCAGCCCCACAAATGACTCGTTTGGCCAGCTTTGTTCTTTTGTCCAAGGCCCAAGGTCCACCAGCCCATTCATTCACCTAGGAAACATGAGCTGAGCCCGTCTTATGCCCTGCATGGTGCTAGTCACCAGGGATGCTGGTACTAATGAAACACAGTCCCTACCATCCTGGAAGAGAGTTCACAGTCATGGGGGCGGGGGCAGGTATGTGACGTGCCGCACACCTGCTGCTGGAAGAGGTTGGCCCTCCCTGGGAGGACTGGAAAGGTGTGTGGAGGAGAGGCCAGTTGATGATAGGCTGAGATCTCCACATTCTGCTCGAAGGAGGGGAAGCGGGGCGTCGGCAGTGGAGGAGCAGGAGGTCATGGGAAGAGGGGTCCAGAGACCCAAACAGCCCACTACTGGACCTGCTGAGCCCACCCACAGCAAGGCCCTGGGAACCCCGCCAAAGGTGCCTCTCTAATCTCTAAGAATCCCTTAGTGACCTCCAGAGGCAGCCAGACCTGAATATGACTGGCTCTGCCCCTGAGCGGCTGGGGTACTCTGGGCTGGCTCCTCCACCTCTCTGAGCCTGTTCCCTCTTTGCTAAATGTAATCATTGTAGCTGCCTCACAGGGTATGTTAGTTTCCTGGGGCTGCCATACCAAACTGCCACAACCTTGGTGGCTAAAAACAATAGGAATGTGTTCTCTGCAGTTCTGAAGGCCAGAAGTCTGAAGTCCAGGCACCAGCTGGGCTGACCTCCCTCCAGAGGCCTTAGCAGAGAATCCTTCCTTGTCTTCTCTAGTTTATAGAACTCCAAGCTCGTCAGCCAGGTGAGGAGGCTCACGCCTCTAAGTTCAGCACTTTGGGAGACCGAGGTGGGCAACTCACAAGGTCAGGAGTTCAAGACCAGCCTGACCAACACGGTGATACCCCATCTTTACTAACAAAAATTAGCTGGACATGGTGGCATGCACCTGTAAACCCAGATACTCAGGAAGCTGAGGCAGGAGAATCGCTTGAACCCGGGAGGCACAGGTTGCAGTGAGCCGAGATTGTGCCACTGTACTCCAGCCTAGGCAACAGAGTGAGACTTTGTCTCAAAAAAAAAGAGAACTCCAAGCTTGTCTCCATCTTCACACAGTTTCCTCTTCTCCCTGAGTGACAACTCTTCTGTCCCTCGTAAGAACATCTGGATTTGGATTTAGGGCCCACTGGCTAAGCCAACATGCTTATCTCCAGATTCTCAGATTAAATACATCTGCAAGACCCCCTTTTCCAAATAATATCACATTGAGAGGTTCTAGGAGTCACAACGTGGACTCCTAGATTTTTGGGGCCACCATTCAGTCCACTACAAAGAGTGACTTTATGGCTTGAGGGCAAAGCTGCCTGGATAGGGTGAGGCCCAGAGCCCAGCCACGTAGAAAGCATTCAGTAAATGAAAGCAGTTCTCACTGTGAGAAATTTCACTTTTATTAAGAAATAAACTGCAAAGGCTGGGCATGGTGGCTCATGCCTGTAGTCCCATCACTCTGGGAGGCCAAAGCAGGAGGATATCTTGAGCTCATGAGTTCAAGACACACCTGGGCAACAAATTGAGACCCTGTCTCTACAAAAAAAAATTCGACAAGTGTGGTGGCATGCACCTATGGTCATAGCTACTCAGGAGGCTGAGGTGGGAGGATCGTTTGAATCTAGGAGGCTGTAGTCAGCTGTAATCATGCCACTGCACTCTAGCCTGGGCAACACAGCTAGACCCTGTTTTGAAAAAAACAAAAAGAAAAAAAACTTCCATAAAAGCAGATGATCGCAAATCCTCATAGCAAGAGGCAAAGCTGCACATGGGCGAAGGGAGAAGTTGCCTTAGGCTGGGGCCTGCTGAGGGAGGGGAGACAGAGACAGAGGGTGTTCTCTGCAGGGACCAGTAGGGAAGCACAGGCCAAGGGCCAAGCGCAAAGGCATCGGCCAAGGTGGGGAGGGGTGGAGGGCTCTGAATGAACACCCAAAGAGCAGGAGATCAAATGGCCTGGTGTTCAAACGTAAGTCTGGGCTTTCTCCTCCAGTTGCTGGGGTGTCTGAGCAGGGAAGGCATCATTCAGACTTCGTTAGCAGGGAGGGGAGGAGAATCAAGAGGCAGGAACTGAAAGAGAAAGACGGGTTTCCAGGGGCCTCCTATAGCCTGACAAGCATCTCAGGCTCACAAGAATACAATAAAAGAAGGAAAGACACCTCTTCGTCACATAAGGCAACTAAGCCTCAGAAACCACAATGGCCTACCCAAGGTTGAACATCAGTGTAAACTGGGATTTGAACCTGGCTCAGAATCTCCCGACTTTCCATCTGGCTGGGGAGGTGAGCTTGCCGGGAGGGCCCCAGAACCACCCCTTGGTCCATGTGGTTACTCATCTTTCACCCATCCACCAAGTCATCTGATCAATTCATCACCTCCCCATCAACCGGGCACTAATCATCTATCTTACCAACTGCCCACCATTCAGTTGCCATCACTAGGGTCAGGGCTGCACCCCTGGCGCCCAAGCTGCTGAGGGTGTTAAGCAAAAGACCTGATGATGCTGGTCAGTGATGTTTACTGAGCTCTTATTGCGGGCTGGGCCTGGGCTAACTGCTTGACAGAAATTCTCTCCTTTATAATAATTCTTCTAATTATTGTCTCTATTCTGCAGACATGAGGAAACTGAGACTTGTTCAGGCCAATCCCCAGGGATGACATGTGGAAAAAGCAGATCTGGGATGCAGACAAAGCTCAATCTGACCCAAGGGCTCCTTCCCTGAACCAGCAACTGGGACTACCCCAGGGTACCCCTAAGTGCTGCCCCGCCCTGGAGGTGAGGGTAAGGGGTAGGGGGCTTTGTCTTGGCTGGGCTACATCTGTCACATCCCTGTGGCCTGTGCCATCATAATCAGCCCCAACTATATAACCAGGGGCTGCCAGGGCCTCTGTAAATCTAGGCCTGCTGGGAGAGGAGGAAGAGGAGGCCCTGCCCCTCCAATCGTGGCCTCCTATGGACACCAAGACTCACAGCCTTCCCATCACCCACACCCCACACCATAGAAACTCTCGGCCCCAAAGCACCGCCTGCAGCCCGTGCACCTGCAGCCGCCACTGCCAGACTTGCAGCCAGCACTGCAGCCAGCACTGCAGCCAGCACTGCAGCCGGAGTGGGAGCTCCAGCTGGAGCCCAACCACCCACCACAGCCCACCCGGCACCCACAGCTCTTCTGGCCGCCAGAGCCAGAGTCCCAGACCCAATCCACCACCAAAGAACCACAAAAAGACCATGAACTCCCACCACTCTCCCACGCGGCCCACCATCCTTTACAGCAGCTGCCCCAAGAGAAGAAAGAACTTGGAAGGCAAGATGAACAAGAGAAAAATGGCCAAGAGGATCCGGCAGGTGTACAAAACCAAGAAGCGGAGCTCAGGTACCCTTTAAGGACGTGGGGAAGGGTCCCAGAGCCCACGGATGACAGGGGGCAGACCCTGGGGGGCAGTAAGGGGAGATCTGTAGCCAGGTCACAGAGGAACCATAGGCAAGGATGAAGAGGGAGAAGAGAAACAATGGCAGTTGGCCAGTTGAATGTATCAACACTGACAGACTTTGAATAAATGGGATGGGCTGATTGGAAGGATGGAAGGTTGGTCAGTCAGCAGATTGGCTAGATGGAAGCATGAATGGGGTTGAGAGGTTGAGTGGATGGGTGGGTGGATAAATAAAGAATATATAGTTGGAAGAATGCATTGGTTAAATGGCAGCAAGGTTGGATGTGATTGAATGGATGGATAAATAAATGGATTAATGCACTGGCTGGCTAGCCATTGGTTTGTTAGGTAGATGATTAATTGGAAGAATATGGTTGGTAGATGAAATGGTTGAATACAGAGTTAGTTTTGATGGGTTGGTTTGATTGGTTAAATAATGGTTGGCTAAGTAGGTGGA